TCCAAACATTTGGAAACATTCCTTGACAGAAAGAGCATTGACTTTGATCAAAAGCAAGTACCGGTCAAGGCTGCTGCCAGAGGATGATCTGCGTTTATTCCTGTCTACATTGCATCCCTGCATCATCCGCCTGTGCGCATCAAAGACGCAGACTCATTGTTCCCACTAAAGTAGGGGTGAGTGTAATAAGGAGGCAAAGTTGACGTTCAGTGTTGCCGGGAGCATATAAGGATTTATCCACGATGTTAAAAATGTAAACAAAAATATTTAAAACATAAAGATAAAAAGGTTTAAAAAAGGTATTGTTTAATGTTTTAAGGAGGTGACGCTACTCAACCAATCAAATCGGTGCAATCAGTGAGTCAGCACGATAGATTCAAACACACACACAGAGACGAGACAAGAAGAGAGAAACAGTCGGAGTCATTTCAAATGGCGTGCTCAAAAAAGAGAAAGGTAGACAGCGAAAACAGAGCATTTAATGACATGTTCTCTTACTGGACCTCTTTGAAATGCAATTGATTACCCCTGCATTATAGCAACAACAACAACAATAATAATAATAATAATAATTAGGAGGGGGGGGGGAGCGCAGATGTTCGTATGTTCTCTGAGGGGAGGCTCACCTTCCCACACTTTGAAAACCCCTGCTCTAAAGCCACTCCCCAAAATCATCCTCATGAACATAAATATAGCAAACACGTCATAAATAACATAGAAAACATTGGTTATTGTAAATACTCACAGCTGTCAAGCTAGCAGTAAAATCCAGTGTGTGCATAACTCCGTCAAGTTATACAGTCCTGCAACAGGAACATTATACAATATTTATTTTTCATGTATTTTCATCCCGTTTGCTAGGAAGAAAAGACCAATTCAACGAATGAAACAATATTGTTTCTAAAAAAACACATAATTCACTCTAACTTCAAGTACAGCGAGTTTAGTGTCCAGAGAAAACTCCGAACATGGCTCCACCAAACCCGACATTTGCAGACATCTAATCACAGTATAACTGAAAGCACCTGTGTGGGTCTGCAGTGGAGCCTTTTTGAATGGCACCATCTAGTGGTGACTTTTGATATAACGACAGGCCTGTAACCATTAGCATGACACATGTGTTTGTTTCATATGAAAACATCCTTTTCTCCTTTTAATGTACAGGATAAACACACATTGAAGGTATTATGCATTCAAGATGCTGGCTCCATGTACAATTATCCTTTCCTAATCCTGTCAGTGGAGTCAACATGGAATCCAGACCGAAACATGGAAAAGAAGACATTTCATAGGAAAGCTTTGCCACATATACAAACACACAGATACAAAGTGTTTCTGTATGTATTCCCTTCCGATGACATTCATGTGTAATCCTTGCATATTATTACATGTGAATGATTAATGTATTACTGAATGCACATAACCCTTGAAAATGTTGTTTATATGTTTTTATTGTGCAGTTTTCTTACTTCAAACATGTTATTTTACTCCATGGCACATACACAATGGTGACTTACTATATATGGACTATTTCAAAGACTGCCATTGTCTGAAAACTCTGTTGCAACAGTTAAGAAAATGTTATGTGAGTGTGCGTTAGATAGCACTGTTATCTCTGGTTGCTCTGTGGCATATTTAGTTTCACTGAAGGTCTGTGTCTGTGCACTTGAGAGTATGGCTGTGAATGAATGTCCATTTTATGTTTGTAAAAGACTGTTTTTGTATCAAAATATGTACCCACAATTATAATTATCTTTTATTAAAATAAAGTGAAAATGCCTATTGTTTTGTGAGTGAATACATGTCGATAATACCAACCTGTGAAAATAAACTTGACCTTTGCACCATTTATTTATCATTCTTTGTTAAAATGAGTGACACTGATGAATGATTAGTCCTTTTAATAAATAAAAACAACAGGCCTCAGGCCTATGGGAGGATGTGAGTGCAGCTGGCATACCGCCTGGTGATCTTGTTTGTCCTTTACTGCAGCATCTGCTGTCCTTTAGAGTAAAAATAAACTATGATTTTACACTATGATTTAAGGCAAGACACCAAAAGCAAAAACATTGATTTTTGATGCACTTCACGTACATTTTGTTTGGGCTGTTGTTCTTCCATAACATGCCTTATTTTAGACTACAAAAAAAACATCCACTTCCGTTACCTCCATAACATAATGACATCACTAAGTACGTAACAGTCGTTTTTCTATTGGCTAGCGCTCCAACACGTTTTAATTGATAGGCTAAGGGTTGGGACATCTTTAAGTGGTTGACCAATCACTACAAAGCCTGCCATCTTATCAATCAGAGCAGACTGGGCTCTGGTTTCAGACAGAGGGTGAAAAGAGGTGCTGCAGCAGGCAGTATGAGACAAATAAAGAGCTTTTTGAACATTAAAGCATGGAGACATGTCACAGTAGAGACACTACATACTGATATGAACCTGATAATGAGCAGAATAGGGCCCCTTTAACCTCTTCCATTCCGTGTAACACAAAAAAACAATTGTCCTAATGAACTATGGAAAGTTTCTTGTTAGTTGAACTTCCCTCTATAAAAATCTAAAATGTCAACAAAAATTAAACTGTTGTTTGTTTTACCTGTCCAATAACAGATTTCTGTTCCATGTACAGCAATACAAAAAGAAAAACTGTTTTAATGAACCGTGGAAAGTTTCTTGGTGGTATCTATTTGTTGAAATGTGTTTCACCTATTCACCTGGGTGTCTCCCCAGCAACAAGCAAACAACAAGCTGAGGCTGAGAGAGAGTGTAAGCTGAGCTGGCAGACAGCCTTATGTTCCTTCCTCTGCAGCATCTGCTGTCCTCCAGAGTAAAAAATACACACTAGGCTTGTTTGAGACGAGTTGCGGCTCGCCTCGAAAGTAGACGAGAGTAGCCGATCGCAGCCGGGGGAATCTCAAAAAGCTCGCCTGAAGTCGGACAGCTACGAGTCGGCTTCTTCTTCTTCATCTTCTTCTTCTTCGCCTTCTTCTTCTCTCGGTTTTTTGGCGGATTGCAAACAACTTTAAGGTGCATACCGCCACCTCCGGAGTCGGCTTGACTCGGTTTGCATTTATAAAGAATGCACACATGTGTTTAATCGTTAATGTCATATATGTACTAAGTAAATACATTTGTTCCTGCTCAAGATTAGATTCAACTTTATTGTTATTGCACATATTACAGGTACTGAGACAACGAAATGCAGTTTAGCTTCTAACCAGGTGCAACAAGCAGTAAAGTGAAAAGTAATGTACACAATCTACAGAATAAAATATAGAATGAATTGAATGATGAATAAACAGTGAGGGGTATGAATACACTAGATATCAGCCTGTGAGCAGTATGAACAGTGTGTATGAATATGCTAAGATATATAAAGTATGAAAACGGTAAGCAGTGCAAGTATAGTATAACATATATGGATATTAATTTCATGATGATAAACATTGTGGAACAATGATGAAAAATGGGAATGGATGTGGCGACGTAAAACTGACACAAAACAACAACAAACTTTTGCCGAGCCAATTGGAGAGTTTCATCACCAGCACGTGGTAAAAACCACCAATGAGCGCTCAGCTCGAGATACTAGCGAGTCGTTTCCCATCAAGCATTTCGCTTCCGCAGCCCGTGGAGAGGAACTGCGCCGCCTCGCTCTCAAGGCTGTGGGCGTCTTTGTCCCACGAGATTTCAACGTCTCATGTAGGCGGGCCTCCAGAGCAAGTCGGACAAAATGACTAACCATCATGCAACGCACGAGCAAGACGTTGATCGCAACTGCGCAGGTCTCGCTTGTCTCAAACAAGCCTCTTGTGACAGCGACGTGCAGTCAGGGGAGGCAGAGCCTCACCTGTCATACTCATAGACTGGCCATACTACAATGTAACGGAAAAACAACTAAAGAAAAACTAAATAGTAATAATAATAAAATGTCTGCACTGATCTGTGTTGTAAATGTGATTTATGTATGATTCCAATCGCTTTTTATAGTCAAAATCAGCAAATTTGCCGAACTCCGCTACAACTACGGGTAGCGATGAGAAGTGAGGCAGGGACGAGCTCTGCCTCTCGTAAGCCCACAGTAACTGGCTGGAGCGCGGGCACTAATTTAGCGCGGGCACTTATTTTGTGAGCGCGCTCAAGCCAGTTACTGTGGGGTGAGGTGAGGCACAGATGAGCTCTGCCTCACCTCAGATGCGTCACCCCACAGAAACTGGCTGGAAAGCGGGCCCTAAGCGCATGCCTGTTACCATCTCACTGTATGTCACCAATGTAATGTTTGTAGATCCCTTTATTACATTTATCCTCGCCATCCATAGTCTCTAAATAACTTATTTCACGTATATATGATATTTAGGCTCGCTGCTCTCATCATACAACGGCAATGAAAAAAGCACCAGGGGAGGCAGCCATAACCTCTGCCGCACTGAAGGGGGCGCACGTGAGCCCACAGGTCCTTGTTGCTACTGTTATTCTACGCAGAGACGGGGTAGACCATGGCGGTAGACGCGACGCGAACAACAAACTAGACTTTTGAAACTAGAGGAAGATAAGGAGGACTTTTACAAACAAGTAATAGAGATTGTTGTCCAGAAGGATAGCATGGACTTCATCTTCAAGTCACGGTAAGACCACATTGGTAATGAAAATTGGTTCTTACTAAGAAAGAACAATCCAATATTTAGATTGTGGGTATCCTTTTGTTGAACGGTCTGTTTAAAATTAATCGAAACATCAGACCAAAAAAGCTTTTGAAAATAACAGAATATTTCGATTAAGGTCAAAATATAATATTTGTAAATCTGACTCTGAAAGAGTCAGTGCCTCACCAGCCATTAACCTCACCGCACGTCACTGTACTGTGTATACTTGAAAGAGCACATTGCACTCTGCCTGGCCTCAAGCCCAGAACACTGGCCTGTCTCCAGAAACAAAAAGGCAGCACTGACACCAGATACATGCTCTGGTCATAAACACACACCCCGACTGTCAGAACACATTCTTGCACAATCAGCATCTATTCCTTTCAGTTCTGAACCTTCTCCTTGTGAAGAAACTACTGAACAGCCACTGTTAATCAGCTCCTTTCTCCCTCTCCGTTCCCAGGACATTTGCCAAGGTTACAGAGATGGGAGGGGAGGGGAGCTGACACAAAGAAGCACAGGGGGGGTGAGCCGCATGCAGAATGTATGAGACAGCTCAGAGGAGGCAGAGGTCCACTCTGAGCGGAGCAGCTGCAGTTTTGTGAGGCAGCCTGCGACAGGATTTTCCAAGGATTTCCATCACATTACATCTTTGGGTATAGTGGGACAACACATTCGGATGCTTCTGGATTGCGTCAGGAGTCAGCTGACTGGGGGGGAAAGGTGAGGTGATAGAGGAGGAGGGTGCAGGAGCTATTGAAGCAGAAGGAAGGGGGCTGGGCCTCTCTGACAATGCTCGTGTAACCAATAAGGACTTTCGCAATGTGTGGACTTTATTCTCAGGGCGCAGCGTGCAGGCAGTTTATCTCCGGCTGTAAGAGGACACTAACCGCATGGTGAGCTTGTTGTGAGCCGGTCACCAGCACGGGAGCCGACATGCAGAATGTACCAGAGGAGTGGAGGGAAGGAGAGGAGAGGATGGGGGAGATGGTAGTGAAGAGGAAAGTGGACTCAGAGGGGAAGAAGAATGAAGGGCAAGGAGGTGGAGAGGGGGAGAAGGAGTCGCTGATGATGGAGCTGACCAAGCTGGTGCAGAAGGTTGTGAAAGAGAGCAGCTGGTGGGAGAGGAGAGGGATCGATTGCAGCATCCTGGCAGCAGCATTCCTCTGTCTGGCCCCGGGTAAGACTTCAGGCATGCTTTGGTGAAAAATCAAACGAACATCATTATGACATTTCCCAGGTTGATTACTTTCATTGGGACAAGCATTTTTTGTATTAAAGGTTTTCTGAAAACGTATGTTTGAATATGCATGTATGGTATTATTTTATTAAATATGCTATTGTTCACTCTTTTCTCAAACATAAATCTAAACATTTGATAAATGTTCAGGTTCAGATGAGTATTTTGGATGTTTCTTTTTCCATTAGTCTGAAAGCAAAAGTGCTCAAATCCTTAAAACTGACCAGTGTCTGAAGAAAGTTTCCATCAGTGTCTCATCTTAAATGTTGGGGTGATGATAAGTACTGTAACACGTTATACAGGATGTCTTGTACATGTTATTGTTTATCTTAATTTGTTATTTCTATAAATCTTTTTATTTTCATGGATTGGACTATGTAACAAAAGATAGACACATCAACTTGGACTGCAGATATCATATTGATGTTAACTAATGTTGATTTTAATTACAAGATATTTCTATCAACGGCTTTAACTAAGGACTATTTCAATATAAGTCTGTCCATTCTTTTATTAATTAATAGACTATTATGACCAAAAAAACTTGGGGGAAAATGTATACTAACAATCACCTAAAGTCCAAAATAGGCTAGCAACCATAGACTGTATATATAAAGCTAGCAACTCATCTTTAAGACAATTTAAAAACATTTTTGGCATCTTAAACATAGTTATTTTTGTATCAATCATGTTTTAAACTTTCTCTAGTCTCAGTCCAACAGTGTTGTTATCCATCAGTGCATTACATATTCACAGCATCCTATGGATCCCTGTATCTGGGTCACTGGTGGTCATGTTACTGACCTCATTAGGACTGGTGCCTATTGTGACTCATGTCACTCGATCATTGGAAGTGACAGCTCCCAGCAGCAGGACGACACCTGGTTCAAGCTGCAGCTGTAATCTAGACTGGTAGACTGGCTGCCAGTTAACACATCACTACAGCATTCAGCTGGGACTAGCCACTCCAACCAGGAAAATACAATGTTGTATATATGTATCCCACTATGGATCTTCTATCCCACTAAGCCCTACACAATAGAGTGCCCTTGAACCCTCACTAATACACCCCGCCCCCCACCATTAGGTCTTAAACTTATTATCTTTTTTTTGTCTTTTTGTTTTGCCCATAAATGTTGATCCTATTATGTCACCCTATAGTGACATATCTTGCTTCACTAAATACAAATAAAAAATACGTCTAAAACGATAAATTGAAGGTTCAATATCTAAAATATTTAGATAGTAGTTTCATTTTTTGTAAAGCACTTTGAATTGCCTTGTGTTGAAAGGTGCTATATAAATAAACTTGCCTTGCCTAAAATGTCCTCATTAAAAGATCTTAAAGATGACTAGATATCCAACAATTTTATAAGCAATAGAAATCTGTATTTCTAATAAAAATGCAATGGTTTTATTTGATCTAGCCTACTAATGACGTTGTATCCCCTTTGACCTACATCAGCGTTATGTTTGTCAGAGGCGTTCAAAATGTAACATTTTATCCAGTTTTAGGCCATATTATTATTGTACATTTTAAATCTTTGTTGTTTTTAACTATGTATTTTTGACTGACTGAAGGATTTTAGCCTGAATCTTAAGTTATCAGAGAAACAAGCTAAGCTAATGGTAGCGGCTAGCTAGCAGTCCACTGAAACACTGATGTTTAAAGTGAAGCTGCTTTACTGAGAGTGTTTGTTTTGGAGAGGATCACTGTGGATATTTTGGTTTCTGGTCAAATCATCCTGAATGATGAACAATGAAGGAGAAGTGCCATTATGACAATTAACGCTAACCAAACACTGTCTTGTTTTTGTTTTTATTGAGAGACTATGGCAGAAATGTACATTTACACGTGAATGTATTTTTACTACTTTACTTCTTCAGCTTTTATAATTAGTGAGTTACATACAGCATATCCCTATCTTTAATATCCCTAGAGAGGGGTTTTAATCTCACTGTGAGCCTAAGGAGGCATCTGTCATTGTGTATCACAGACCGTGACTTATCACCTCAAAATAGTCTGCTTTGAAATAGGAGGTGTAGTATATTAGCACCATTTTATTGAGTAAGGAAGGGAAACACAAAACCCGGCGGTAAAATTCAGACAAAGGATCCTCACCGGCTGCTTGTGTAAAATTAAAGAGTAAATCTGTGAGGCTACATCGAGGCTGCTTTTCATTCACTATTTAAAGGGATTAGTCGTAAATAATTGTATCATCAAACTGAATTTGCTGACAGGAAGTTGAGCTGAGTTTTAATATTTTGATGTTTGAGAATATTGGATTGAATGATCTGACTTGTATACAGGACAAAACAATTAAGAAAACCCTGGGAATACAATAAATGCAGGAAAATAATCAGATATATGTAAATAATAACTGTTCACGGCAATGTCGTCATGCAAAGGTGTGAAAGATGCAGAATGAAGTTACTTTCTTTCATCTGATCTTCCTGCATGTCATGGTTGAAAGTCCCACCGCTGCTGCATTTAATGCTCACTGATAACAGAAACACTGATCCTGGCAGTGTGGGTCCTTTAGTCTGTTATGACTACGCACTTTTGCCAAGAGTCTACGGAAGGTTATTAGTGCCAGGTGTAAGGTGGTCAAAAGGAGGAACATTTTTGTTAAACATTTTAAGTTTTGTGAAGTGGAACTGTCAAGAACAAGTCTGAATCTTGCAAATAAAGTCCAAACTTTCAGTATAAGAGCTAACGGCAGCTTTATTCCCAAACTTTCATATTGTTCATTCAAAACGTTTTGTCATACTGACTTAAAAGCCTGGCACTAATACTGAAGTTTCGACTTTTTACATTACATTACATTGCATTTAGCTGACACTTTTATCCCAAGCGACTTACAATAAGTGCATTCAACCAACAAGATATAAACTTGAAGAAAACAGAATCATATAAGTACATCAGGTTTCATAGAGCCAAAACATTTCAAGTGCTACTCAACTGGCTTTAGATAAGCCAGTCCTTTATTAGTATAAAGTGCTTTGTTAGTAATTCTATCGCTCGAAGTGGAGTCCAAAGAGATGAGTTTTCAGTCTGCGCCAAAAGATGTGCAGGTTTTCTGCTGTCCTGATTACAATGGGGAGCTCATTCCACCATCTTGGAGCCAGGATAGCAAACCCACATGTTTTTGTTGATGGGGAGTGGGACAATCTTTTCCCCGAAGGAAAAGCAGTTCAGTCTTGTCAAGGTTGAGCTTGAGGTGGTGAGCAGACATCCACTGAGAGATGTTCGCTAGACAAGCAGAGATGCGTGCGACGACCTGGGTCTCTGAGCGGGGAAAGGACAGAATTAATTGGGTGTCGTCAGCGTAGCAGTGGTATGAAAAACCATGCGGGCTAATGACTGATCAAAGCGAGTTTGTGTACAAGGAGAAGAGGAGGGGACCAAGAACAGAGCCCTGAGGGACCCCTGTAGTTAATTGACAAGGGTCGGACTCGGACCCTCTCCAAGTTACCCTGTGGGTACGGTCTTTGAGGTATGAGGTGAGGAGGGAAAGTGCAGAGCCTGAAACTCCAAATTCTTGGAGAGTGCGAAGGAGGATCTGATGGTTCACCGTGTCGAATGCAGCAGACAGGTCCAAAACTTTAGTCTTCACATATAGACACTATATGCAAACTTTTTTTTTTAAATGTATCTTTGTCAAATGTTTTCTCCTCATGCCCACTTACTCTTCCATAAGTGTCCCATACCTCTTATAAAGAAAGTGAAACAAATAGATTAAGGTCCCTGTGCTCTGTGTTGCAGCCTTCCTGCTGCTGGGCTCCTCTCAGGTTCTGTACTTTTCGGCGGGCATGCTGCTGATGGGCATGGCTCATGCTGTCATCACCTTCAAAGGGACACATCTGGCCAGCCACGGGTCCCTGAGCGAGTCGCAGGCCTGGGCGAAGGTCTGGGCTGTCTTCTTTATCGAGGTGAGATGTTCAGAAATAATTTTAAACCACAGATTATGATGAGACACTTGAAGCTTATTCTCACTGTAGCTTTGTTGCAGTGATGAAAATACTACTGCTAAAGTGGCAATGCGATAGGAACTTAAGAGTTAAACAAGAAGATATGTAGCAGAAGAAAATGTGCTTTTAACTCAAGATAATGCATTATAAACTGTGCCAAGACAAGTCTTTTAGACTTTTTTGCTCACAGCTAACAGCAGCATTTATTTTCTGAAAATAGGTAAGCAAGGGTGTTAGCGAACATTACCTTGCTTGGACAGAGAAAGGTCTCGAACAGAGTTAATTTTCTCTCAATTTGTTCGTCCTAAAAATGTCATTTTAGTGTCAGAATATTGAGAAGTGTGAAAATGGGCCCAATTGTTAGTCACATTGGTCGCAAGAATCAGCTAAAATCTGTGTTCACATTTATTTCTCTTGGAGTGACAGACTCGGGATCTGTTGCTAGTCTCTAAGTCTAAGGGAACAGGAAAGTGGAGAAAGCTACACAGATACATGAAATTGTCTCTCATAGTGATATCTCATTTCTGAACCATCTGCTAAAGCAAGCAGCAACATTCTTAGCTTAGAAGCCTGCAAACAGGGGGACCAGATAACCCGTGTCCAAATGTAGTGTAACAGATTACCTTTAAAGGTCAGTAATTCAACAATCATATCTTGTTTGTTTAGTCTGTTCATACACAAAAGACAAGGTTTACAGAGACGTTATGTCCCGGACATTCTTGGCTCTGCTGGTTTCTTGGAAACCAGCCGTTGACTCCGGGAAGTCACTGCCAGATCCAAGAAATGTTAGCCTTCATAAAACCTAATCTGTTATAATTACTTAGTTCTAAAAATAAAACCAACAAGATGTACAGTGTTTATCATTTAGAGATGCCGGTGGGAGCGTTTTATTCCCTTTGGACAGAGCCAGGTCAGCCGTTTCCCCCTAAATCCAGTCTTTATGCTACGCTAACTAACTGTTGTTTACATGTTAGCGCACAGACATGAGAGTGCTATCAATCTTCCTATCCAACTCTCATGCAGGAAAGTAAATAAACGTATTGTATTTATGGCAGACTAATTCACCAAACTCCCAGCTGTTATAGTGAAACTTCCCCAGTTGATTACATGCTCGGGACAAAACATTATTGTATTACAAGTTATCCTATATTGTATTTATATATCCAAATGAGACATTATTTTTAATAAATATTTGCTCATTTGCATACAGGCATGCAGGTTCAACAGTTTGTTTTGTTAACATATTAGAGACAAGGAACTATAAAAAAGGGAGCTCTGGACATGTCTTTGTATTCCCACTTTACATCAGAATATACTGTCAGCAGCCATAAAAAAACTACATTTTCTGCATGTTTTTAGGGATACATCAGAAATAAACCAAGCTATCAAATAAATATGAAGAAACCCCTCTGTTGTAAAGCTGAGAGGTGTAATGTGATTTCCTGTGATTGAATGCACCTACAGAGGATGCCGAGGGATTGTTAACAGGTTTAAGGAGTCATGGATTACATGTATCAGATTGTATTTCTTCTTTGTAAACTGTAAATACAAAATCAATTAAAGACAATGTTCTAAAAACAACAATAGTCTTTGCAAGACACTAAAGGTTAATAGGGTTTAAAGAAATGTTAACTAGGCCTTATCCATATCCCCATGAAAAAACAACAACAAATGAGGCATTGAAACATTCATTGTCCCAGTGCTAGAATAATCAATTCAGTAAACCTTTGAACCTGTGAATTCTGTTCTTTGCCCCCTATTGGCTGCTTATGAAAGCAAAACACAGCAAAACAGCCTTACAAAACTAGGGTAAAGTCCATCAATACCATTCAAAGCCTATGTATTTCCCTGCTTGTTTTACAAGTTGCATCAGTGATGGTTTTGTTGTTTGATGTTCATAATCATACCCATCTGTGCTTGTGTTCATCCACTCAGATCTGTGGCTCATTCTCAGCGCAAGCCGGCGTTCAAGGCCATATTAAGATGCATCATGCTCATACTAATGTCATTGGACTGGGGGACTCCAGCGTGTGGAAGGCCCCCTTCCTGCCTCGCACTGTCTACCTGTTCATAGCACCCCTGGCCGTGCCTATCATCACTCCACTTGTTGCACTCGGTAAGAGGCGCCAAAGCACCAAAAGAAGTCCAGACAGTTTATGAGTTTGCTCAAATACTTCAACATTAAATGTGACTATCAGCATAAAGTTGAGATTTCCTACCCTCTGATCCTGTTCAAGTTCCTCTGCTACCTCGCCTCTCTCACTTAGCTGTGACTTTATTCTCATATATGTGATTCTCTGGCTTTGCAGCTCACCTCAGAGGAAACTCTGTGGCTGTCATGGTCCGGACCGTCCTGATGGTAACACTGGGCCTGTATTCCCAGTACTGGCTGCTGATACACGTCTCCGGATTCCTGTCGCCTCTCAGCGCTTTGCTTTGTATGCTTGTTTGCAGAGCAATGTTCTCTGTGACCTTTATCCATGTCAACATTTTCCAGGTGAGAAATACCTTCAGGAGGCACCTGTGCTTTACATGTTCAGTGCACATCCTCAAACAAGGATGAGTCTGCAGTCATGCTAGCTGCATTGTAAGGGTATTTTTGGACACAACAGCGGCATGCTAACAGCGGCATGCTAACATGCTTACTATAATAATGGCAATATTGGCACCCATTTGCTAACAGTTCAACGATGATAAACCTCTATGAGCAAGGGGCCATATGTTTGGGGTTTCTGTAGTTAACAGTCCGTAAACAACTTGAAACGAGAGAATGGAGTTGAAACCCAATGTCCAAGATCGGAAATGTTCACACTTGTTACATTAACAAGCTAATTCGGAGCTAATAAAAAGCTAATTCATCATCAGACTTTGGCCAATGAGATTGCATTTCAGGCAGCACATTAAGCTTTTTTGCTCTCAACACGGATCGGCCAAATTGCTTCCAACAATCTTGCTCAGTTGTCTACAGATTCACATCTGTTTATAGAGATTATGATAATGATACTTTTCTGATGTTTAGCAGGCATAAAGTGCAGCATTATTATAATTTCAAAATGCTATTATCATGCTAACATTTGTTAATTTTGACACGGTGATGGCGCTAGATGAAAATTGAGTCAGGCAATCTCAAGGATTTAAATGTGCACTCACGAACCAAACTAATTTACTTTCTCACAATATGATTAGATCACACACAAATCCAACTTATCAGGCTTAAGGTATCATCATTTGTCAGCGTTTCAATTAGCATCCTGTGAAGAGCTACTTAAATAGCTAAATGCGTCATTTAGGTGAGCGAAGACATCTGATTATTTAAAAAATAAAATGGTAACTCCAAAGATGGTTAGCCTAGATGTTGCAATAGTATCAGATATATCAGAACGAGAGTATTTCCTATCAGATATAGGAGCAAAGAATAGCACTGTTTTCGCCCTTCTCAAGACTTTTAAATATTGAACTAGAAAATGCATTTCTTGCAGAAAATTCGTGCGAATGCTGTAAACTGTGAACATTTATGGCTGAAAATGCAGAAAAAGCTGAATATGTAGAGTGTGTCTGTGTTTGAGAGAGTGTGTTTGTGTGTGTCTGTGTTTGAGAGAGTGTGTTTGTGTGTGTCTGTGTTTGAGAGAGTGTGTCTGTTTGAGAGAGTGCGTTTGTGTTTGTGTGTGTGTGTGTCTGTGTCTGTGTTTGAGAGAGTGTGTTTGTGTGTGTCTGTGTTTGTTTGTGTGTGTATGTGTGTGTGTGTGTGTGTGTCTGTGTCTGTGTTTGAGAGAGTGTGTTTGTGTGTGTGTGTGTGTATTTGAGAGAGAGAGTGTGTGTGTGTGTCTGTGTTTGAGAGAGAGAGTGTGTGTGTGTGTGTCTGTGTTTGAGAGATTGTGTGTGTGTGTGTGTGTGTGTGTCTATGTGTTTGAGAGAGAGAGAGTGTGTGTGTCTATGTGTTTGAGAGAGAGAGTGTGTGTGTGTCTGTGTTTGAAAGAGTGTTTGTGTGTGTGTGTCTGTGTGTTTGAGAGAGAGTGAGAGAGAGTGTGTGTGTGTGTGTCTGTTAGAGAGTGTGTGTGTCTGTCTGTCTGTGTGTGTCTGTGTTTGAAAGAGTGTGTGTGTGTGTGTGTGTGTGTGTGTGTGTGTGTGTGTGTGTGTGTGTGTGTGTGTGCCTGTGTTTGAGAGAGAGAGAGTGTGTGTGTGTGTGTGTGTGTGTGTGTCTGTCTGTCTGTCTGTCTGTCTGTCTGTCTGTCTGTCTGTCTGTCTGTCTGTCTGTCTGTCTGTCTGTCTGTGTGTGTGAGAGAGAGAGAGGGAGTGTGTGTGTCTGTGTTAGAGAGTGTGTGTGTCTGTCTGTCTGTCTGTGTGTGTCTGTGTTTGAAAGAGTGTGTGTGTGTGTGTGTGTGTGTGTGTGTGTGTGTGTGTGTGTGTGTGCCTGTGTTTGAGAGAGAGAGAGTGTGTGTGTGTGTGTCTGTCTGTCTGTCTGTCTGTCTGTCTGTCTGTCTGTCTGTCTGTCTGTCTGTCTGTGTGTGTGTGTGAGAGAGAGAGGGAGTGTGTGTGTGTGTGTGTTAATTGTTACAGCTCAAATGTATTGCAAAAACTTCCATGTTAAAAAAAGACTTTAAAAAGCTGAATATTTTAAAAAGTATAACATATTTTGAAAAAGTTGAAAGTTTCCCATCATGTGCTGAAAAGGCTGAATAGTTTGATATTTGAATGGTTCCTGCAGCTGAAATGAGTCTGAAGGAGTTAAATAAAGATATTAAATGTAAGCAGTAGTGATTGAATGTTTACAAACACCTGTGTGTGTAAACCAAGCCCCCAGGAAGTGCGCCGGACTCAGATGAAAATATTCGTGCTGGCCAAACGGCGGTACTACACTTCCGTTTGGTTGCCAGGCCCGGAAACACTTTTCCCCATTGACCTACATGGGGAAAGAGTGGTCTGTAACTCGTTGGATAATTTTTTTTAAACTAAATAAACTACCCAGTATGAACACTTGTATAGCCCTTATTAAAAACATTCGTTCCTCAAGTTGTAATAATGTGCTAATAACGTTATTCTGAGAGTTATTTCCCTCTGCATTATGAACGCGCATCTAGCCCACGGGACCGCGCCGCCCGGCACGTTCATGTTACGTGTCCCGACCAATCAGAGCACACTGTGCTCACAGGGAGGGTCGGGCTGGAGCCATTGGAGCTACAACGAGCCGTTAAAGGCAGAGTGAAATTCAGTGAATACACGTAGTTTACAGAGATGCTGTATGAGAAACCAATGTGAGTTGCGTTTATCTTTACCCATGGATGCACAATAAGAACGGATCCATATCGTCTTACTGCCATCCCACGGAGCTGTAATAATGGATATATTGCACATGTTTGCTGTAATTCATTATCATACTACATGGGCTGTATGATTAAATCTTGTACCGTAAATGTTGTATTAAATAAAGTTAATATTACCGACATTATTAACGTCCCTGTAGCTTCGTATTGCACTAAGAAGCTTATTGCACTGTAGTCCTATATAAATATATATATATACAGTGCAATAATTATTGCATGCTAAATGAAGCTCTGTTGGATATCACTAGATCCTGTTACAGCGTAATATAAGTACATAACGATTGATGTGTAAATTAGCATCATTACTAGCTAGCCGCTAGCTGCTAACTGCCGCCTCGTTCATATCAAATCCATGATAACAACCATCCATTACCATGCTGTCATGAACGCGCGGTGCTGTTACGTGTACGCAAATTGACGTGCTTGATGTGAACGAGCATTTTGGTTAAAGTTGCGCATGCTCTATGAGCGCACATACGGGTACTTCTCAGGCATGCTGGGTAATCTGTGACGTTTCACTCTCTCAAAAGGTGGGCCATTTTATCATAATGCGCTAATGAGCAGCTCTCATAGGAATGAATGAGGCCCCGCCTCCCACGCTGTATCCAGTTCTTATTATACATCCATGGTGTAAACCCAGAGATCAAAGGTTCCCATGGTGTCTGCTCTGATTGGATGATGTGACTCACGTGTGTGTGGCTCCAATCTGCCCAGCAACACCTTGACAACCAACTGCAGCACTGAGTCCCATAAGAATGCATTGAGGATTATATCTGACAATTTTGCCACCTGTTCAAAAACTATGGCTCTTATCAAAAAATGAGCAGACCGTGAGCATCAGGGAACCCCAATGAACTGAAATATGTTGTTTTTTTGGGTTTTGTGTGTAAAATGTGGAGATGGGAGCAGTTTGTCTAAAGTGTACTCTCTGCTCTGAAGAAAGATCCAGAACAATTTAACATCCATTGGGAGCTAGCTGGACTTTTTCTCTCTTCATGCCCTCAAGAGGCATTTTGTTTAATATTTTTTCTTATTTTATTTTAATTTTCCAAGCTAGGAGAGGTTTTCCTACGTTTTTCATGAAGAAATATGTCTGAGGAGTGTAGGGTTTGGGAATTATGGCAAGTTTAAAACACTCTGTTTTGAGATCAAAGCACTCTAGAGTTAATGAGCTGCTCCATCCACTCTAATGTAAAAATCTTAAAAATGCCTCTCTACCAAGCTCCAAATTCAATATCTCAAAAAGTTGAAAAGATATCAAAATTATTTTATACAAGTTTTATAGCTGAAGGTATTGTGATCATTTGAAAGTTGGAATGAAGTGTCTGGCTGAAATTATGTGGAAGGAGATGCATTTGGCGCAAAGTGTAGGAAAACAGGATTTGAAGGCATCTCCCATTGACTTCAATGTTAAAAAAAGAGTTTAAAAAGCTGAATATTTCAAAAAGTATAACATATTTTGAAAAAGTTGAAGGTTTCCCATCGATTCCTGAACAGGCTGAATAGTTTAATATTTGAATGGTTTCTGTAACTGAAAATAAGGTGAAGTTATGGAGTGCCAAAGTATTGGCTGAAATAATAAGGGGAAGAATAAAGTTTTGAAGCACTATAGTGTGAATGCTGTAAACAGCATTCGCACTAATTAGTTTATTTGACTGGTTGCTTGAAGTTAGCCTGCGTTAGACTTTGCTAGACAGTATGTTCATCCAATCACCTGCCAATATTTTCCAAAAATGCGCCAACCTGCTAGTCAATGAAAAGTCGCGATCATCTGTTGAAAATGACATAATGATTAATCAAATTGTTTGACAAATATAGATATACTGATTTTATAATATTTCGATTTTTATGATTTATAAATGAACTCTCCAGAACAGCTTCCACATAAACTTCTACTCTGCTAGCAATACATTCCTCTCTCACAGATTTGGTGAAGAATGCTGGTTGGGTCATTTCATGCCAAACAGTCATGAGTGCACCTCTTTCAGCGCAGCCTTGTGTTCCCATAGATCAGACCAGCCAGTGAACTAAAGGGATAAAAAGGAACAATTCATGCATGATTTCCCACATGGAGTCTGAGTGCTGCAAGTCATTGTGCATTGTTCTGATCAAAGTGTGAGAAGGTGGATTAGAAAAGGCATGTTCTCAGTGTGAAGTCAGGAGTCTAACAGGGGCAAATGTTTGTTCTCTTTGGGGGGTCACGACAACCTGCCCTCCCCTGGATCCCGGTGCTGTTGTTGGCCATTGTCCTATCTTTTCCCCCTGAACACAAGGTTACTCTGTCCTTTTAGCCGACGATAACCTTGTCTCTCATTTGTAAACATTGTGTACTAAAACTCTTTCTTTATGTTGGAGAAAACACGTTTTACAAATTTGTACACATTGTAAACCTGGACATCGTGGTCAACAAATTATCTAACCAATGTAATTTCTTATATACTATTACTCAACTTGTCTAAAACATTGTGTTCTTGACAGCACATTGGCCTCCACATGTTCTCTGCGACCAGCCGACCCAAGAGGATCTACCAGATGACCCACGGGGTCTTGAACCTGCCGCGTAACTCCCTGCTGGACTGGATGTTCGGACACTCGCTTATCAACTGCCATGTGGAGCACCATCTCTTCCCCTTCCTCTCTGATAACATGTGTCTAAAGGTGAAGTTTAATCCCCAAGTCATTATATATTATCAGTTTGCACATGTTAGATGGACTTTCACTGCAGATCTAGAGAATTGTTTTGCAACACAAAGGGAGATTTACGCTTTATGTCACAAAAAAAGATAATTATTTACTTGAGAGTAAAAGGTGAGAATTAACAAAAAGCAACTTTATTGTCAACTAGAATAATTGCTTAGCATTTACTGACAAATCAATATGTATTTAGCTAAAACAGAAGCCTAATTACCAAGTACTTATGTGTAGATTGTCACTCATTACATATGAATTTAAACGTGTTTCAACCTACTACAATAGGTTTTCCCTTATAACATGTTTGAAATAGTCTATATGAAAGCTTTCTTTGCCTATAATATGAGTATTACTATTATTTTAATATTATAATATTTTTTATTGGGCAATTAGTTGTGTTTTTACAAGGCATGCGAAGCAAATACTTTGTACAGGAACACATTTTTAAAATGTATAATTTCCCAGTAAAATAATTTACAGTTATGTATCAATAATTACGTTATGAATGCCTATACTAAGTAATGTATTATAATTAGGGAATATCTTTATCAAAGAACATCTGGCAGGAAATCAAATGTTTTATTTGTGACGATAATTACACTCATATATTACAGTAGATATGACAGGCACCTTTAAAGCAAATATTATGGATCAACACTGATATTGATTTTGAATCTCCCTGGGCTCACAGAGCTTTATTATTCTGTGGGCCATCATTTGTAGAGGAGGCTGTACAAACACACCCACAGATATTACACATGCATGTCAGTTCACTCCTCATGGTGAGTTCTCTTGAGGACATTTGAGCAGGGATTTAAGCGTGTGCGAACAACACCACCCCGATTTTAGGTGCAACCCATCGGCATGTGCCTGAACGCTGTATAATACGGTCAGTTAGCTAACCACAAAAGTATTTTGTGAATGATTTAAATGTTTAAAACAGAATTAAAAAATACCCTGCACACTGTTAGTGTTCATATAGCCCATATCCAAAAAATAATTGGTTAATTTGAACATATACCTTTTTTTTTGCAATTATGCTATCCGTCTAAATGTAGCGTTTTGCCTGCCAGTTCTTTGTTATGAACTGTCAAGTGTTCAAACCTGATTCATTTAAATAAAAAACACCCATTTAATTAAAGCACTAAGTCTTACTTAAGGGCAAAAATGACACAGAAAATCTAAATCAACTTCAGAATCCAATCAATTTATTCCAATAATAGTTTGTAAAATAGTCTTGACACTAGTTTTGGTCCTTCTCTCACAACTTAAGCCCTCTTACTCTGCGTATGTAAGCTCCATAAACACCAAAGCAAATTCCTATACGTTTAAACCTTCTTAGCAATAAATCGGATTCTGATTCCAAAAGAATTACCCCTCATCCCCGAGGAACAATTACTTGATAAAAGAAAAGGGTCCTGAGGATTTCTAACTTTAGCAATGTCTAGCTAAACACACATTTTGCAACCAAAATATTTAAAAAAATAACACAGCTCAGACTTAAAGTCAGAATCTTTTTAAAAAAGAAATCTCTTTTGGGAGCCATCCAACTGAATAGGAGAGCAATACTCTCTGAAGTATTTGTTTTTAAACTAAATATCCACTTATAACCACTTATATCTGAAAGTAGAGAGTAACTCAATTCCAGTTACAAAGTAATTTAAGATTTTGATGTAGTCCTTTTTGTAGTGGGTCTCATTGATTTTCACCTTTCTTTTGGATTTGCACCTTATTGTGATTGAACCCTAGACTTTTAATGTGTGCCCTCTTCTCACTCTGTCTGCTGCTCAACAATACAAATACAGTTGTTTCTCATATCATCTGTAGTATTGCATGCCTATTTACTGTAGATACTGTTTCTTAGTTAGTAAGAAATGACATGTGACTTGTATATATATATTCCTCCTCTTTCCAGGTGAAGCCGGTTGTTTCCAAGTATTTGACGGAAAAGAAGCTCCCGTACCAGGAGGACAGCTACTTCTCCCGCCTCCGTCTTTTCTTCAACAAATACCAGGAACTGATGGTGTTTGCCCCGCCGATCACAGAGCTGGTGGGGGTGCAGTAAGGAGACAAACTGCCCAGACTAAAGACTGCTGCTGCTGCTGCTCCAAAGCACAAGCCCTAGTGTTAAAGTGTTATCTACTATCCAGGTTTTAAGTCTCTAACATGCAGAACATAGGTTTTAATCAATAGCACACATGTAGTTTGGTATCATTATGTTCTGCACTTTTAGCGGTAATTTAATGAATAGCACAAAGATAAGCACTCAACCAAAAGTTGACCTGATTATGTATAAGTCAGTGTAGATATGGTTTCAAATCACCTCCTTTAACTCTAAATGTAATCACATTCTAGGATCATCAGGAGATTTAGAGGATCATATTTTAGGATCTTATTATAGCACTAATAACATAACAATTAATAAAGCACAATTGTAGTATAATAGAAACAGCAGTACAATAAATATGTTTTTACTGTTTCATTTGCTGTTTCCTCAGCTCTAGTTACAATATACATGCACACAGAGGTGCTTCAGTGTGTTTCTAATAATACATTTTAAATTAATTTTCATGAACTACACATTGTTTCATTGCCTTCATTGCCTTTTTTTCAAATAAAAAAACAATTGTGGAACCAAGAGTAGAGCAAAAATGCTTCGCATACTCAATCAATTCAAAAATCATGTTAATCTTTTTTTATGTGGTAATGTATTCTTTTTTTAAAGCAGTGGTAATAGTTGTTTCGCCACTAGGGGGCAGCAGAACACACTGTAGACATTATTACGTCATGACGTTTGAAAATTAGCTAACAGTTGCCTATTTACTGATTGATTAGGAGAAGCAAAATGTAAGTATAATATTCACTCTCTTGTCAATTGTATTGACTTTTAAACAAATCTGTCATTGATATATAAAATAGTGAGTGCAGTTTGGATTTTAGAAAAATCACAAGCTCTTTATGTTTGGTTCAGAGCCCATTACAAAGACTGCATCTAATATAATATGAAATATGATGATAATCATGGGGTGTTTCTTAATGTCGAGGAAGGCTCCTCCAGAGCCACTATTTCAAGGATGCTACTTCATCGAGTCCCGTCGAAGGACTGTTCCAATGTCCAGGATCCTTAGAATTCGAGGCCGTCGTCCTTCGTTGCGGGAAATTTCGAGGCTGCACACATGTGTATCCTCCGCGGTCTTAAAATCCCCACAATGCTTTGCGCACGGAGGAATTTCCCAAATCTTTGGCGGAAACCGTGCTCCATTTAAGGCGGGCCTCGCATATGACGCACACCTGCACACCTGTTAGCCTGTTCCACAATTCTTTGTTTTCCGAGGCTAGGAAGGATTCTTGCCTCGTTTCTGAAGGACCTGACTCAGAAGACATGTCCTACCAAGGAAGCGTCCTCGACATTGAGAAACACCCATGTTCTTTTAAACAATAAGTATATTTTAAGAACATAACTTTTCTTTACGTACTTTTTCTAAGATACATTCAGGATGTTCCTGCTGCCTTTTTTCCTTTTTTGTTGTCTTCCTCAGGTTCCAAAAACAGGGTTTCTTCTTTTAGGGTATTCCAAGTAAAAAAATGCAGTTAAACAAAAGTAAAACGTATTTAAGACATTAAAAGACATTAAAAATGTTTACTTAAAATGAACCGACTTTTTTTTAAAGGGTCAATTATCATACACGTATGAGGGGAAAAAAGAAGTTCATATTAGTTTCCGAACTGTAATTATTTCTATGTTCACTTTAAATAAAGACAACAGGAAAATGTTACTATATATATATATATATATATAATTTAAAAAAAGGTGCATTAGATAATAAAAATCAATAATTATAAAATAAGTGCGAGAAAGAAAGTGAAAGTGGATGTTGAATAAATGATGGTACATTTAAACAAGGTTATTTCCCACACATGTTTGTTTTACACTTCAACATGTTTCTAAATGTCCCTTCTTATATTTGTCTTGAATGTCCTTAGAAGCAGACTGTCTTTCTTGCTCCAGTTACATTCTTTTTGAGTTACCACTATTGGGAACTTGTGTTAGTTTCATGTGTGAATTTCCTTAATATTAAAAAAAACAAACACAAAAATACAAATACTCTTTAAAAACGTAGTTTTGTAGACCTTTGCAAAAAGAGAAAATGAAAAAAAGAGTTGTCTCTGGTTGGCTGAGCACACATGTGATTAATCACATGTTTCCACATTTCCAAATCCCCACTTCAGCAAAGAACTCTCTTGTGACGGGCTGGTCACTGATGGCAGCAGCTGTTTGCTCTCTGATCCGCTGATTCACTCACTATTTGCATTCTCACTGGAACTTCCACTTGAACTTTGGAGCACAGAAATGCTCCCATGATGTTAGAGAGGAAGCAGGCTGGCAGACAAAAGGCTGCAGTAGTGATCTGCTCAGTCTAATCATGATGATACATCAGATACCAACAAACAAAGGGTAAGATAAGAGATGTGTGTGTTTCGCTTCATGTTCAAACACAATGCATGTGGGGGAATGCAACTCCACACCTCTGTTCCTCATTTACAGTGTGGGCTCCACCCTGTGGCTTCTTTTTCCTCGGGGAAGGGGAGGGTGTGTGTGTGTGTGTGTGTGTGTGTTTCTGTGTGTCTGTCTGGCTGGCTGGATGTAGGGGCGGAGAGCTTTTAGACTGAAACTATGGGTTTTGACTCCCGCTGACATCCTCTAGGTGTGGCCTTTCAGGAACTGCCGGCTGACAGAGTGGCCGAGCCAGTTCTCTCCAGAGAGCAGAAGAGAGAAGGCTGACAGACAGAGACTCTGAAGACATGGCAGACACAGCAGCTGTAGCAGCTCCAGTCTCCCAGCAGCCTGTCTGCTCAGGTGCACTGAGCGGGGAGAAGACAGCAGCCTGCCCTCACCCTGTTTGTGGCTCCTGCTTGGGGGACAAAAACAAAGGATGTCCCAAGTGTCTGCAGAGCTCAGACCAGCCTAAACCTGAACCCAAACAGAACGGAACAGAGGCTGAAACTCCGGAGATCAAGAGCAAAGAGGAGCAGGACCCTAACACAACGGGGGAGATCAAAATCCAAGAAGACCTGAAGGAGTCTGAAGACCCTCAAAAGCCTGAGGAGGAGAAGAAAGAGGGGCCACCACAGACACATGGAGAGAAAGAAGAGGTGAAAGAAGAGGTGAAAGAAGAGGTGAAAGAAGAGGAGGTGAAGGAGGAACCTCTGGGCCCCGACGATGTGGTGTGTGACTCCTGTATCGAGAGCCCCTGCAGGGCCCTCAAGTCCTGCCTCACCTGCCTGGTGTCCTACTGCGAGGCCCACCTCCGGCCTCACCTGGAGAACCCCAAGTTTCAGAACCACCGGCTGGTGGAGCCGCTCAGGGACATCGAGAGGCGGACCTGCGAGAGCCACAAGTGGCCCCTGGAGCTGTTCTGCTGCGCCGACTCCTGCTGCGTGTGCCAGGACTGTGTGACGGAGGAGCACAAGGGCCACAACACCATCCCTGTGGTGGAGGCTCGCAGTCGGATAGAGGCGAGTGATACTTTTTTCAAAAATAATCTTTTTTTGTATTTAATTAGAACTCCTCAATACTATATATCAAGAAATAAGATACAACTATATTTTTGAGTAATTAGTTGATAAACTAACTTTAAAAAAAAGTAAGCATTGTACTCATCACAGGTCATAAATTCGTTTCAGAAATTCTCCTTATGAAATATTTGTGTTACCTCAAATGATCAAGGTGTCCAGTTTTTGACAAAAAAAAAAGATAAATCAGGAAAAATTCTAATTGTGTACATAATGTTTCTAAATCATTTATCAAGCAATATCTAAAATATTCACTGGCTACAGGTTGCTTTTCTCTGTCTGCAATTATATATTCAATATATATTGCTTGTTTTAACCCAACAATCCAGACTATATTCAGCATTGTTCGTATTAAACAGGGAATGTTGACAACATGTTGACATTGTATATATAGGTGATTATAATCCTTGTTGAGTGCAGCAGATTTGAACAAAACAACATATTCTCATATTACAGCATGTCCAGAGTGCGGTTTTGTTATCTTAAACCTCGATGAATGCTTTTATTTGTTATCGATTTGTCACTGTGTGGCAAAGGCTGAGTCCATTACAGTTTGAGCAGACACAGTATTGTCATACTGATATTCTGTACAAACTGAAGTCCACTGAGACAAATGTAACATTTGTGATATTGGGCTATATAAATAAACATTGATTGATTGATTGATGACATGAGGGCTAAAATATGTTTTATTGAGCCATAAAATCAACCAAAAGTGTAATTACTTTTCAATTATATCCCAAGTCGTGCTTTCATGTAATAAAAAAGAGGTGTCTAATTGAGAGGATTTGATGAGCACCAGTGTAGATGGGAATGTATCCTCAAAATACACCACAGTTGTTCTCACATGTCCAATAATGATATCTATAATCTCTTTAAACCTAATTAGGACAGTAATTCTCACTTAATATCCACTGTAAAGGTCATCATATTCTAGGCTCGCTTTGTGTGATTAACAACAACATTTGGTTCTCTGGAAATTCTATTTAGCGCCTCTGACGCAGAAACAAAGCTCCAGCTAGAGTGTCATCAATCTCTTTTTCTGACAGCTCATGACCCTCAGGTTAAACAACTGTAGTCCAGATTCCTGCAGGGAGCTGTAGCTTCTAGCTTACACCTGCAGTTATTTGCAGTGTGTGTGTTGTTGCTCAACCTCAAAGTGCTTCATCAGAGCTGTACATCAAACAGTGATGGGTGGCTCACTGGAGCTGTTTGAGAATGAAGGTTCAAATACAGGCTTTAAGTTTATGAGCTGCATAAAGAATCCTCCGCTGTGTATACATAGAAGTAAAATAGATTCTAATAGAGGACATCAAGTTGCATGTTTTATGCACTCAATCATTTCCCCTTAAAAAAATATGTATTTCCACATGACAACCTGAAGACAATACAGTGACATGACTTCCTGTTCGGGTCATGTTCCACATTTTCACACTCTTCCTTTAATAGAACTCATGACATGTCTCAGACTTTGGTTTCGCTTGTCTACTCCTGCAATGTTTTCAGGGGGAGAAACCAGACACCAGTGGATGCATCTTGTGTGTTAGCATGTGTGTTAGCATCACATTGGAGTCAACGGTTAGCATCTGTTTTAGTCAAGATTAATATGCAATATTTGAAGAATTTAGAGCGGTTTTTATCATAATTTACCTCTAGAATCTGTAATCTGAGTCTAGATTAAAACAAGTTTCCTTTCTCTGTAGGTCAAATAACTGTTTGTTGCTCAAATTGTGACAGTATTTCCTATCCAGTTAACCAAAAATGAAGCATTCCTTGATGTTTTTTGGGAAAGGAAGTAACAGTAATAGTTTCATTGTGGTTCAGAAACTTTGCTTAAGTTTTGGCCTGAGTTTGGTGAATCAATTAATCTAACATGGATGAATAGAATGTCAAAGCCATATTTTTTTTATCTCATAGACATACATATATAGATACAAAGTTACATAAATACAAGCAAGATCCAAAAAACATTACAGCAAAAATGTTGATATACAGTCAGTTAAGGTATTTATTTTTTCAAATTGGTTAAATATATCAGAATATCAACTGCAAATACATTGATAAAA